GATAGATAGATAGATAGATAGATAGATAGATAGATAGATAGATAGATGGATGGATAGATGGATAGATGGATAGATGGATAGATGGATAGATGGATAGATGGATAGATAGATAGATAGATAGATAGATGGATGGATGTGACATCATAAAGACCTGGCCCAAAGCAATCATAAAATAATAAACCTAATTTAAAAATGTTACTCATATTGATGGTTGACGTGACCTTAAATTAAACATGTATGACTGGATGCTATCACTTATGTTTGTTCACCCACGGATCAGCCAAAGTGACTGAAAACAGGTGAAACTCTCCGGCCCGACAGAAGTTTGGCAGAACCTGTGTGTGTTTGAATGCTGAGCTCTGTTTTTATGACCCTCCATCGCCCCGGATGGTCCCAGATATTTATTCTTGACACTCGTCCTACTTGTTCTTTTGCATTTAGCAGCAGCTTCACTCTTACATTTCCACCTAAACGTTGCCTCCAAGACTCTACACGTCCACTTCTGCCATATTTGTTCACCTACACAGACTACAGCAAGCCTGATGTGGGTCACATGACTCGAGCTTCCACTTGGTTCTTACAGATTCAGCTGTTTTATTTGTCTTGAGTGTGGACCCACATTTCAGAGTGTAAATTAATAAACCTGAGAATCTACTGTAGTAAACTCAAAGTGCACCTTTTGATATAGTTCAGGATAAATGTTTGTTTTTATACTTTGCAACAAGTAGCTTTAAGTAAATGATATTAAACCTTATTCAATTGTTGTGTGCCTAATTTGACTTTTTAAGCTCACTTTACACGAAGAAAATACAAAAGGCAAAGAGTTGATCAAACTCTGGGCATACTATTTAAAACTCTCATAGCTAATCTAGTCCTAAAATTGATGCTGTGGCATTGTAAGCTCTGATAATCGTTGTTCTCCAACAAACCTTTCTCCGTTGGTGCAGCCAGTCCATTAAGGAGCTGTGATAAGGATTTGTTGGGGGATCCGGGCGACTCGCGCACAGTTAAGGACTCACAGCTGAGGATGTCAAACTTCCCAGCCTGGAGCCGGAACTTCTCCAGCTCTTTGGACAGGAGGTTGAACTGCTCACTCTGAGACCGACATTTCTCCTCCAGCTCGCGGACTTTGGCCTGGTAACGGTGAGGGGGGAGAGTTATTGGAAGAGGAGGAAACAAAATACACAGAGAGGCAAAAGGAAAGGCGGGAAGAAACAAAAAGGAAAGTGATAAAAAAATATAAAAGATCTTGGTGTGAACAGAAATACTCTGCACATCTTAACCACTGTTTGCACACACATACACCTAATGCTGGACTTATCAAACAGAGCATTATAGAGGAAAATAAGAGAAAACAAAATTCTTATGTTAAATCTGACTCATGCATCACTACAGTACAATAACACTACAACTAAAACACTGTCTTAGAAGGTGACTGATGACATTCTGCAAGTTTCTTATTGCCTTCATACCTGAGAAGCTCAAAACCAACAATTTAATCCAAGTAACTGTGCTTTTAGAGTTAAATACTGTTTAAAAAATGTACTCAAACAGTAAAAAGGCACAATGTTTAGAGTTATTTAATTATACTGAATATGCTGTGCACATTTATTTAAATTAGACACATTTTGTTGCTGTAAACAGTAACTTTGAGTGTATTAAAGTGATAGTTCAGCTCCTTTGAAGTAGGGGTTTGTGGAAAAGTTTAGGATTTTCTTTATTGTTTTCACCTGTAAGCAGGAAAATAACCTCAGTTTTCAGGATTAGAGGTTTATATTCTAGTTTGACACGCTAACGGCTAATCCGACCAGGGGTCAAAACCAAAGCGGTTATTGGATTGTTGTCTTACAACAACTCCTATCTAAACATTTTGCAGACTTGACTAGCTGTTGGCATCTCAGTTTGGCTAGAATAAATGAAACATTCTACAAAATGAGATCAATCAAGCAACTATATACTATCTAAAACATTTCCACAGAACCTCACTTTAAAAGATCTGAACTGCTGCTTTAATCAACGTCTGATGAACTCATTGATTCCCAGGGTTGGACTGAGGTCTGCAGAGGGTCTGAAAACCCTGCAGCAGTGAACGTTAAGATGAACCCACACGTTGATTTCTTTGTTTCTTCACCATCACCTGAACCAGGTGAGGGGTCAACCTCAGTAAGTCATCTGATTGGCTGAAATACAGCTTTAGGATGCAGATCATAAATAACATGAGTATCAAAACCTGTGGTTTTAAGTTTGATTGTAGTCTGAGATCCATGCAGTATTGCTCACACTGATCCTGTGATGACTGATTTTTTAATAGACCATGCAGTCTTACTGTGAGGCACAGAAATACAGATGTGCACCCAAACATTGTTGGTTTTGATCTTTTTGAGGCATGATAACAATAAAAACCATCAAAGAATGGCTGCTGTGTGCATGAAGATCAGAAACATCTGATGCATGAAGCAACACAAAGAGCAGGCTGAATAAAAACTCCAGGTACTAAAGTCTGCTATCACAAGTCAAGACACCATCACTAATCAGCAGCAAAGATCCTGTGAATGGCACTGAAGCTGTCGTGGAACTTTGCTGATTAGGGTCCAGTTCATGCATACAGGATGCTGCAGCATGCTGTTAGATACAACATGCTGCTAGATACAACATGCTGCTAGATACAACATGCTGCTAGATACAACATGCTGCTAGATATCCTGATGCACGCTCAATAATCCAGGTAGAAAAATCTAAAAAAGTTCAAACAACAAAAAAAATGTAGAAACGTTTCGTCTTTCATATGAAAGACTTCCTCAGTCTGAGGTGCTGTATTCAGCTCAGTCTTATAAAAAGCACCTTCTCAGAGTGGATCAACCAGTTTTGCTGCTGACAACAAAAACCAGCTGATCACATGCTCAAGAAGGACCATCAGCCTAACAATGGGTCATTAGCACACTGATGGCTGTTTACTGTTCACAGAGGGCTGAGTGATACTAGCAATCACAGCATTGTCAGAGGGGGACAGTTGAACCCGGAGGCCTCCACCCCTGTTTAATGATGGACGATTTCTTTTCACAAAGATGGCCTCCTTTACTCCTCTCTCAAACCATTGTTCCTCTCTGTCCAGGATGTGAACATCTTCATCCCTGAAAGAGTGACCTCTGGCCTGGAGATGAGTGTAGACCGCAGAATCCTGGCCTGATGATGATCTTCTGTGCTGGGCCATCCTTTTGGCCAGTGGCTGTTTTGTTTCCCCGATGTAAGACTGATCACCCTCCTGACACTGAACAGCATACACAACATTACTCTGTTTGTGCCGGGGGACTGGATCTTTGAGATGAACCAGTCTTTGCCGTAATGTATTTTGGGGTTTAAAAGCCACTGGGACGTTGTGTTTAGAAAATAAACGTCTCAGTTTCTCTGATACTCCCTCAACATATGGAATGACCACTGGTCTGGGTCTGGGTTCCTCCTTTTCACCTGTTGGCTGACTGGAGTCCTGTTTGGGTTTCTTCTCTGCTTTCAGGAAGGCCCAGTTAGGATATCCACATTGCTCTAGAGCCTGTCTTGTGTGGGATTTCTCCTTCTGCCTGGCTCCTGAGCTAGTGGGGACGCTGTCTGCTCTGTGATACAGAGTCCTGATGACTCCTAACTTGTGCTCCAAAGGGTGATGGGAGTCAAACTG